AAGAATCGGTGGCTCTTATCGGACAACCTCGAAATGAATCGTCCCAGGGCGGCTATGCGTCCGATTAGTCTTTGCACGACATTCACATTGTCCACGGCCGTGATATCTTCGACGGCTTTGATTTTGTCGGGGTTGATCTCGATTCCCCAGTTGGATACCATGAATCCGAGGAATTTATCCAACCCAACTCCAAACGCACATTTTTCTGGATTCAGCTTCATATTGTATTACTTCAATATGCTGAAGATTTCCTGCAAATATTTCAAATGGTCCTCTGCTCGCAGGGACTTAACCAACATGTCGTCAATGTAAACTTCCATTGATTTTCCTATTTGTTCCTTGAACATCCGATTTATTAGGCGTTGATAAGTGGCACCGGCAGTTTTTAATCCGAATGGCATCACGTTATAGCAGTAGGTGTCGTACTTTGAGATGAATGAGGTTTTTTCCTGATCATCCGGGTCCATCCGTATTTGGTTGTACCCGGAATAGGCATCGAGAAAACTGAGGATCTCGTGGGTGGCTATGGCATCGATCATGCGATTGATGTTGTGCAGAGGAAAAGAGTCCTTGGGACACGCCTTGTTCAAATCCTTTTAGTCTACACACATTCTTAATTTGTTCCCTTTTTTAGGGACTACCACTACGTTTGCTAACCAATCGGGGTATTTAACTTCCCGAATGGACCCTACTTTAAGGAGTTTAGATACCTCGTCCTTGATGAAAGCATGTTTGACCTCGGACTGGGGCCTCCTCTTCTGTTTGACCGGATGGAATTTTAGGTCCAGGCTTAGATTATGAGTGGTTATCTCCGGTAGGATCCCTATCATATCAAGATGGGACCAAGCGAAACAATCTTCATTAGTTATAAGAAATTGAATGAGTTTTTTCATGAGCTCGGAGCTTAGCCCTGTGCCCAGGTATATCTTTCGATCGGGCAAGTATTCTATCAATATGACTTGTTCCATATCCTCGATCGTTGATTTAGTGGCGTCAGAATCATCGAGGGCTATAAAAGATCTGGGAACCCCGTAATCATTATCCTCGCCTTCCCCTCGATTGTCCGAATCTGCCAAGGCTGGTATCAATGATTGCTATTTGGCCCCATTTTTGACCATCTGGTTCGGATCCTTCTATGTTGACATTGTAGATTACGGTATCACCTCCTCGACCGCGAACATTTCCTTGGAAGCCAGTTGTTTACCATAGACTATTTTGACTCCGTTAGGTGCATTATCGAGGGCACTACCCTCATGTTGTGGATCCATGGACTTCCGAACAAAGTGTTGTACCTCATGTCTCCTTCGATCACATAAAATTTAGTTTCCTGGGTGGTCCCGACGGTGTTTACTGGTAACATTATCTCTCCCTTAGTGGTTTCACATGCCATGTTGAACCCGTTTAGAACTCAGACTATAGGCACGATTTGGTCTTGTAGACCGAATTGCTCCACGACCCTCAATCGGATGATATTGGCAGAGCTACCTGGGTCAATTAACACACGTTTAACTCAGAATTTATTTACGAGTACAAATATTACAAGTGCATCATTGTGAGGTTGCACGATTCCTTCCGTGTCCTCGTCGTTGAAAGACAAGGTTCCTTCCGGTATGTAATCCCGAGTACGTTTCTCCCTTGTGATGGATACTTTGGTGCTTCTCAACATCAGCCCCTGAGAAACATCAACCCCACTGATAATCATGTTAATGACGTGTTGAGGTTCTTCTTGCTCGCCACTTGTTAGAATCCCTATTCTTGAAATGATTTTTTGCTCGGTCACTAAAGAATTCTTGAAGATGCCCATTGCTAAATAATCAGGATACTTCCTCTCTCAATTGTCGGCAATCCTCCGTTTTGTGGCCGTGAGTGCCGTGATATTTACACATCTGGTTAGGATCCCTCAGGGATGGATCGGATTGTAATGGTTGAGGCCATTTGGTGTCCTTGATACGTCCGATAGCTGATACGATGCCGACAGCGTCAACGTTAAAGTTGTATTCGGATAACCTCGGTGCTTCCTTAGGCCCGATGGGCCTGTCGAAGCCGTCTTTACTCATGAGTCCCCGACTGTTTTGACCTTGATCGTTTCTTTATTCGCCTATTATGAGATTTCTCCTATATCCGTTACCTCTTCGATCCTCATTGTACGGTTGATAGTGATCCCTATTCGATCTTGGTTCACGGTCAATGTCTCTCTTGGCTCTATCAATGGTTCTGACAGAATAAACGGACCCCGAAGGGGCCCCAAGTTGATCATCTTCGACTTTAGATCGATACCGGTTATGCACGTCGCCCAGTTAACGGCCGGATTTTCTATCAGGTTCTGCTTCAACTACTGTGAAGCCACCGAGCTTCGAATATTGAGTCCCTGGGTGAAAGCTTGAACAGCACAATCATCAGCAACCGACAGTAGGTCCATCCGTTCCATCTGGAATCGAGATACAAACTCTCTTAGCATCTCGTTATCTTTCTATTTTACTTTGAAAAGGTCCGACTTCCTGGTCCAGACCTTGATGGCACCAGCGTGTGCTTTCACGAAAGAATCTGCAAGCATAGCAAATGAGTTAATAGAATTAGGAGGTAAGTTGTGATACCACATCATAGCTCCCTTTGACAGGGTCTCTCCAAATGTTTTCAGCAGAATAGACTTGATCTCATCGTCCTCCAAGCCGTTCCTTTTGATGGCACATGTATAAGAGGTTACATGCTCATTTGGGTCGGTCGTTTTGTTATACTTAAGTATCTCGAGCATACGGAGTTTCTTAGGGATCGACTTCGGAGCCGCACTCGGAGGAGAAGGTTTTTGCACGAACTTCTTGGAATCCAGGCCTTTTAATATTGGTGGTGCTCCTGGGATCTGGTCTACCCTGAAATTGTAGGTTTCCACCTTTTTGTCATTAGCATCGATTTTCTTCTCCCCTGGTTCTATCTGTTTTGCCAACTCTTCGAGCATCTTTATGATCTCGAGGTTAGCCCCCGATTCATGTTTATTTGAACTTTCTGCGACCGGTTTATCCCTACGGGTGACTTTCAGGGGTAGATCGGGTTCAACTCTGCTCGGTGCACGGCTTTGGTTCTATAATTGAGTTATCGCCGCTTGTTGGGCCTGCAAAATTTCGACAATCACCATTAAACTGATCCCGTCCTATCCAATGTTTTGTGTATTTTGAGTTGTCGATCGGGCTCCACCAAGGGACGCTATTCTCGGGGTCAGTTGGCAAGTTTGCATCGATAGCCACATGTGAATTAACGTCAATTGGGTCTGCGACCAGAATTTCGATGGGATCAGCGGGCGGTACCTCTTTACCGGGTGCTACGCTGTTATTTTCAACGTGGTAACCGGACTCGTTGTAAACATTTAGGGGTATTGATTGAGAGTTCGACATTTTATTTTTTAACCTGACATCAGAGATACTTCAAAGAGCAAGCGTAAAGTAGTGTGTGTTATGGAGATTTGTACCACATAACCACTATTATCCTTAGCCCCACGGTGGGCACCAAACTGTTTACCCTCAAAATCGGATAACAATTAAATTTGTACGTGATTTTAAGGATAAGTGATCTAGCTTGGTACAAAATGAAAAATCAAATTGAAATTGAAATAAACAATAGGAAAGTAAATGCAAACCACACAAGTTGAACGGTCTTCGCCTTAGAAGGTTATCCGCCCTCGAGCCAAAAGTATTTTTATCGATATCAGAACAGAATGACAAGAGAATAGTAAGAACTGAAAATAATAATATATTGCTTTGGGATGCGAGTTACACTATGTTTTACAAGTAATCAGACCCCCTTTATATAGTAGGGGAGTCCTACTTTAGGTATAATTCTATAAAAGATAAAAATCTCATGGTTTGCTGATTTGCCGGTTCTTTATTGATACATGCCAAGATTCCCGCCGAAATATCCGACCGGTTACGGATATTTCGGCCTTCCGTTATTTCGGTCTTCTGTTGGTTATACCGACAATGTTTTCTCGAGCTTATTCGGGGTCAGGGTCGATTCCGGGATCATGGGCTCAATGTTTCGAGGACGAACATTCTGACCTCGTGTTCTGGTTCGATGAGACTCGAAGTCGATCTTCAACCCCTCGCGTTCCGAGCCCGATCTGTCATGCAATAGTCGAGCCCGATTTCGACCGTATACACCACGAAAGCAAAGAAGGATAAAGATTACTTGTCCACGAAAACTAACATTGAAATGAGAAATTAAAACTGAACGTACGACTAATATTAAATGACGAATTTAAAACTCAAAGCATGGAGAAAAGCAAGAAGAGAAGGTCGTCGATTGAAGTTATTATACCTGGTCCGAGAAGAAGTTAGAGAGCCGTTATTAGTTTTTAGCATTAAAGTAGCAGTAGGAATGTAAGATTTATTCTGCTCATTTTGTACTATAGTTTAAGATATTTCTGTTGACTTGGATATATAAGAATGAAATTTAAGTTTAGAATATAGTTTAAAGATGTTATGGCCAGAAACTCCAATCAAACACAAAGAAGCAACTAAAGCTTCAATTGAAGCTCTCCAACCGTGAAGAAGAAATAGAGAAATAGAGAGACCGGAGAGAAGCAAGAAGAATAGAAGAAAAGGAGGAATAACATGAAATTAATCATGGGATATAAAAGATTATTTTCCTCCACTACTATAAGATCTAGGATCAAAGGCTAAGGTTAGTGCTAGGCTATCCAACCTTAATCAAAAGTTTTTATTTCAAGCTTTGTAATGCGAAAAAGCCCACTCGGAAGCTTTATCCCTTTAATAAGTTTTAAATTAAAATTAGTCTGACTCAACGCGGGTAAGGATAACTAACACCGAATTAAAAAAAGAGGCTAGATCACGAAACTTTAAGAGGACAATAGACGGTCTGATACTGTTTTAAGTTTTAAAGCCTTAAGAATGCCTTAAAAAGCTCAACCACTACGCATCCACCAACTACGCTTGGGAAAGAACGACAGTAAGCAACAAAAAGCTTTTATGTATAGATAAAATTCAAAATCCACGTAAAAAAAATGTAGATTTGAATGGACCAAGTTAAAAAAAAATGTAACAATTGTTCCATCCAAATAATTAGCCTAGAAGAGAAACAACAACGAAAAAGTGATAACCAAGTACTAAAGAGTGTCAATTTTCACACTAAATCATCAAAAAATAAACTTTCTGGAATTTCAAATTTCATGAAATTACTGCAGTAGCTATCTCTCTCATCTTCTGTACTGCTTGACAATGGTGTTGACAACACTGAATCAAAGCTAAAGTTTTGACCGCTGGAGTTTTCTTGTAAAATTTGGCCATAGTTTTGCAAAGGTAGCATCACATTTTCTTGTAAATTTTGGCCATTCACCAAATTATATGATCCCAAGTTTGATGTAGTGCATGTTGGTATTTCTGAAGTCCGATCTTGGAACTGATTATAAGGTTGGAAAGTTGGGGTAGGGTTTTCCATTGGGCCATTTAAAATTTGATTTTCTTGATATTTTTGCAACAACACTTGAGACCCTTCTTGGTTTTGTATTTGTGCGTTCAAAAATTGGTTTTCTTGAAGTTGTCTTTGTAATAACATTTCTGGATTTTCTGTATGGGATGTAAAAAGGGTTGTAGAAATTAGTGCCAAGACTTGAGGGTTTACAAATGCTTGTAGTCCAAGTAAACTTGAAAGGTTAAATTGTGTAGAGTTAAGGAGGGATGATAAGTCTAATAAATCAAGACGAGGGCTGTGAGTTACTGGATCAAGTCCCATTCTTAGAAGCCTTTTTCTTATGTGTGTGTTCCAATAATTCTTTACTTCATTGTCCGTTCTTCCTGGCAAACGAGCAGCTATTGCTGACCATCTGAAAATAATAACAATAATAAGCTTTAAATAAAGTACAGGTTTAAGGAAGAAAGCAAATTATTTTGCTACATACTAAAAGTACCATTAAAATTGATGGTCTTATACATGTTAATTATGAGATTCTTATGACTATAAAGCGTGTGTAAAATTAAAAGTTTAAAATAAATAAAAAAATTAAATATAAAAAGTGTCATTTCCTTAGAAACAAACTATAAAAGAACATCACAGAAAATGAAATAAAGAACTAAGAGAGTATCTTACTTGTTGCCTAGAACACTGTGAAGTTGGATAATAGTTTCTTCTTCTTCAAATGAGAATCTTCCTCTCTTAATATCTGGTCTCAAATAATTCGTCCAACGAAGACGACAACTCTTTCCACACCTTTGAAGTCCTGCAAATAATTTTCCAAATGAAAGATTAGAATAAAGCACTTATTAATTAGCAATATGATAGAAAATAAATATAAAATCGTCTATGAAACAACAATTAAGTACTACTTTCGTCTCAATTTATTAGAAAATTTTGAATATTAGACAAGGAGATATAAAAAGAACGGAATTTTTTAAAACTTATAGTCATAAAGATGTCATAACTTTTTTGGAACAGATTAAAAAAGAAATATTATCACATACCAGCATTTTTAGGGAGGCTACGCCAGTTTCCAGGACCATGAACTTGAATATATTCTATGAGCTTATGATCTTCCTCTGAGGTCCAAGGACCTTTCTTGAGTCCATTTTTATCAGAACTTGGTGATCTTCCCATTGGTTTTTTTTCTACTTGCAATAAAGATTACTTAAAAGGGTGCAATTGTTTGAATGAAACAAAGAGAGCTATATAATATAAGCAAAAGTGCAGTACTTGTAGTCCCTATAGGAGAAATGAGATGATGACCCTTAATTTATAGAAGAGAAGAAAATGGAAGTCAATAGTATTTGGTACCGGCCTTATTCTATGTCAATGCATCCTCTTGCTGTGTGTTTAGGGTGAAATATTTAAAAAATTATCTGAAAAAAACACGTATATGGTGTATAATAAAAAAGTAAAATTACTTGAGTTTTTCTTCTTTCCAGTTTAGAAGCTTTTGGATTTTATCTTACAAAAGAAAATGTGAAAAATCTGGATAGAAGGTTGTGGACAAGTGGCAACTAGTTAATGGTTTTGACCTTTGCATCAAAGTCTAGAAATAGGGAGTGATTAGTCGGTATGGTGGTTAGATTTCTCCTACCAATTAGAACAAGGCAAGAAACGTCTCATCGTTTTTCATGGTTTATGATTAGGATACTAATTCTGATATAAAATGTGAAATTATATTTACTTTATGTTTGATTATTAATATTAGTGAAAATTGATGTAACTTCTTATACCAAAATATCCTTTTTTTTTTTAAAACCAAACGATTATGTACTCATACAAGAATGCTATTATCTAATTTGACTTGTAATTATTACATAAGTAATCTGATTGTATAAATATTTTTTATTAATTACGTTAACTATCATCAACATATCGCCTAAATCCAGATTTTCCTCTCCGTGTCACCTTTTAGAAGCTTGCAACCAAGTCTAAGAGACAAAGTTTTAATCAAGTGAAATAAAATATACTGTAGTCATTTTCGTCGTCTTTATTATTGTTATGTATACTTTAAAGGAAACCACTCTAAGCTTATAGTAGAGATTAGAATAATTGAAGAGGAAACAAGTGCGAAACTGTGTAGAAAATTTCATTATTTCTCATTTGAAGCCACTTTTCTAATGAAAATAATTTAATCTGAATTAAATTAAACAACACGTATGTATGTGGAAGAAGAAGATTTCCGTATTAAGGAGCTTGTGAGGTCAGCCAATCCAAGACCGTACACGTAGGTAATATAAATATTATTTGTAATTTCCACATATTACACTTGGCTTAATGTCGTTATTTTTAGTTATCAGGCCACCAATATTTTGACATCTTTATCAGTTTCAACTTTATTTTCTTTTTCAAGCATTAGCATTTACCGTGTATAGTCTTGGTTTTAAAATCGTCCATAGCACAAATTGTTTGTATGTACGACTACGTTCACTTTTCACATAGTGTCTGCCCGTTCAAGCAACATATAGGCTATAGCCCCTATTAGCAAGTAAATGCTTTCTTTTTCAGCAGCCAAATACTTTTCTATCTTCTGATATTGGAAATTATTTATATCCAAGTTCAAATAATCTAATATATAATTAGTTGAGATAATTACACGCTTTATAATCTATTATGCTTTAATTAGTTCAGATGTAATGGCGGAGCCAGTATTTTTATTAAGGGGAGTCAAAATATAAAAAAAAAACTCACCAAGAAGTCAAAGGGTGTCACTATATAATATATATACATATTTTTTTTTTAAAATACCGAGTTAAATAATGTAATTTTCCGACGAATGGGTGTCGGTTGACACCCCTCGGGTGCATGTGGCTCTGCCACTGTTCAGATGGTTACACATTTCAATCCTTCTGATCCCCTCCCCTCGCTTGGCAGCTTGCTTGCCTTGGTTTGTTTACCTCTTCCTAGGAATGGCAATGGGGCGGGGCGGTTTAAGGCGATGTGGGGCAGGGCAAGTTTGCAGGAATGCGGGTGCCGAGCAGGGAGGGGCCAGGCGCGTAACACCAATCTTTTTTAAAATTTAGCCGAGGCGGGGCGGGTTGTGGGTTGGGAAATCCAATCTGATGAGACCCATGTCGTAAACTAAAATCTTATTACCTGTTGTGTCTCTCCGGTTCATTATCTACAAATAAAGCTAGTTGAAGCAGAAGTAATATATTTTCATAAAGGTTTTAGATTAATTGTTAATGGATTAGTTAAATTTTTACTAGTAAAATTAACTGTTGAAAAATATACTTTGATGGAGAAAATATCAAAGTTTAATTTTGATTAATTAGCCAACGAAGCCTTGCTTTAGTTAAATGAACTTCAAAGTTCTGGAAGTTTTGAAGAAATAAAAATAAATAGTTTGTTTATGGAACTTATAGATATTTTACCACAAACCAAAATTGACGAAGCGGAAGGACAAAATAGTGATTTAAATTTTTTTAATCTTGTTGAGCTTTATCTAAATATCTCATCTGAAAATCAAACTACAGGCTAGAAAATTGGGTCATAAAAAATTTAAATACTATTGTAAAAACAACAAAATTATTTTTTTTTAAATTAAGCGGGACGGGTTGAAAACATACAAAAGTGCTATGCGGGGCAGGTTAAAAGTTTTGCGGGTTAAGGCTCGCACCTGCCCCGCCTGCCCTGCCCCGCTGACATCCCTACCTCTTCCCTCTCACTTGTCATATTCTGTTCTAGAAGCAAGAGTATCTTTCATGCGATTTAATATAATTAAACGGCAGATTATATGGAAAATTTGTTTAGCACTTACGGAAAAAAAAAAAATATTAGTAGCAAAATTATACTCCCTCCATTTCAATTTATGTGAACTCATTTGATTGGGTACGGAATTTAAGAAAAGAGAGATGACTTTTGAACTTTTGGTGTGAAATGAGGCACATATATTTTGTGTGGCTATAAATCATTGCATAAAGGTAAATTATTTCCAAATAAGGAAAGATGTCATTCTTTTTGGCACGGACTAAAAAGAAAATAGGTTCACATAAATTGAAACGGAGGAAGTATATAGTATCTAATGAAAGGATAAACATCGACCATCTTCTGTGATGGAGTCAAAATTTAAAGTTTACGGATTCAGAATTTTATATTGAGTTTTAAATCAATAATTTATATATATTCAATATATTTTTTGAAATAAATATATAGTCTGATCAAAACTACTAGGTTCAACTGAATCACTAAATAAATTCTAGCTCCGCAGCCTGCAGTTCTTTTTCCTGTTTGGTCCCATGGAGGCAACCCAATCTTTTTGGCAACTAAGAAATACTTAAGAAAAGTACAGAAATACTTAAGAAAAGTACGTTACTAATTATAAAGATGATACAATGTCCTGATTAAAACTCGCCACTTGTTTCCATCAATTTGACTGTTGTATATAAAAATACAAGTTCAAGAAAAATAATAAATTATATCGTTGAAGTTCCTGTTCCCTGTCAGCTAAATCTTTGTTTAATAGTAGTGAAATCAGCTTATAGCTCGTCACCATTGTAAGATTTTTTAGGAAATTATTACAAATTAGAAAAAAATATACTGATTCAGTAATTAGTTGTAATAAATCTGGGGTTTGCTTGTGGGGAAAACTTGCGATGTCATTGATATTAGACTCTTTCTCCCCCTCCACAAACACAAAGTGCATTTCTTTTATTGCAAAGTTGGTACGTGAATGTTGTTATATTAGTTGTTTTTGTGAGGTGATTAATTGCCTTCAACAAACTTTGAATTATAAAGTTTATAAGGCTCCTTTTTCTTCGTTATCTTCAACACCAAATATTTAATTAGGATAGTTCACATTGCTGTTATAAAAAATGGTGTCAAAGCATTTTTGTTTAATGCAAATACACCATGTATCTATGTAACGTGTTGGTACATAAAAATGACACACACACATATAATATGTAAATATAATATTCATGTTTAGGGATACACATTATCTTTTTATAAATTGATGATGTTTTTGTGGTTGAAAAATTAGTCATTCTCTAATATTGCTCGTAAGCTGTTGAA